TGGTGAGAAACCTCAACACACCTCCTGATTTTACAGCCATAATACCTATTTCAATTTTAATCTCTTATGGGTAGGATGAAGGTTGTACAAAGATCAGGAGGAGCAGAGATGAAAGGTTCTAAGCTGCTTTTAATACCACCAAAGGTTTTCTAAATCTATTTCCAGAACAAGCCATCATGACTCGGTTCTCGAACCTAATCCTAATAAATAACTCTGTGCACAACACTAAACCAAAACAGACAATGCCTACTTGATATCATGGCTTATCATACCACGTCAATGAAAGTTCCTATTAAAAGCTTGACACTACTTCTTCCTTTGTCCTTATTTTTAAGAGCAAATTTACATTATGAAACAAGTTAAGTATGTTAGCAAGAACTGAGATGATTCTTCAGGATTTGCTTTAATGCTGGAAGGGTGAGCCCATGGAATGAAGCCCATTTTTAAAGGGAATAACAAAGTAATCACACATGAATTTTCCTTGACTTAATTTGTTGTATTGCCAATCATGTGTTTGTAGTTTTAGATGTTTGGATTGTCTCAGAATCTTTACAACAAATTTAAATGGAGATCTAATTGCCAAGAGTACAAACCAATCTTCTGCATGAGCAGTGGGCTGGACTAGAAGACCTCCAAGGTCCTTTCCAACTTTGTTGTTCTGTTAATTCCTGCTAATACAAAAAAGAGTTAATACAAGAGTTTGTTTAATGTGCTCATATACTCAATGGAATTTGTGATAGCACAGATCTGGATGTGAACTGGGCTAATTTTGTTTTTCTAGGGGGAGAGAATTAAAAGGCTGCTTCTCTGGGGCTATTTACAATGGGTAGAAAAAAATGGCTATGACCCCCATGGATCCTAATCCTAGTTGAGAATTGTGTTTTAGGACATTTCTACCCATTTTGTGCTTCTTCAAAATGCATACTGCACCTTTGGGTTCCCAGGTTCTCATCCTGAACAGATTTACTGATCCAAAGGAGAATTAATGCAAATCTTCTTTTTGAAACTCTAAAGGCTCTGGGAAGCTTATAGTTGTGGATGATTTCCAATTGGCAGAAACTCTCTCGTTGTTCCACCTGCAAGCTCCTGGGATCCCTTCAGTTGCTTTCCACTTGCCCTAGATGTTCAACTGCTGTGTCATCACCCAGCGAGCTATCTTTCAAATAAATTTGAGAAAGAGACTGAAAGAGGCAGGCAGGGAGAGAGATTTTAACGATTTTCGAGGCCTTGTCCTCTAGCAGAAACCGCTCAAAGCTTTTTATGTATAGATAGACCTCAACTCACCTAAAGAGCCTCTTGATGCGGGTGAAGAAGGAGAGTGCAAAAGTTGGCTTGAAACTCAACATTAAGAACACTAAGATCATGGCATCCAGCCCTGTCAATTCCTGGCAAATAGATGGGGAAGAAATTGAGGTAGTGACAGATTTTATTTCCCTGGGCTCCAAGATCACCACAGATGGGGACTGCAGCCAAGAAATTAAATAGATGCTTTCTCCTGGGGAGGAAAGCTATGGCAAATCTAGACAGCACACTAAAAAGCAGAGACATCACCCTGCTAGCAAAAGTGTGTATAGTCAAGGCTATGGTTTTCTCAGTTGCAATGTATGGCTGTGAAAGTTGAACCATAAGGCTGAGCACCAAAGAATGGAGGCCTTTGAACTATGGTTCTGGAGAAGACTTCTGCGAGTCCCTTGGACTGCAAGGCGATCCAACCGGTCAGTCCTGGAGGAGATCAACCCTGACTGCTCTTTAGAAGACCAGATCCTGAAGATGAAACTCAAATACTTTGGCCACCTCATGAGAAGGAAGGACTCACTGGAGAAGAGCCTCATACTGGGAACAGTTGAGGGCAAAAGAAGAAGGGGACGGCAGAGAATGAGGTGGTTGGATGGAGCCATTGAAGCAGTCGGCATGAGCTTAAATGGACTCCAGAAGATGGAGGACAGGAAGGCCTGGAAGAACGTTGTCCATGGGATTGCGATGGGTTGGCACAACTTCGCAACTAACAACAACAACAAGACCTCAACATACAGCCATTTATTTAGTGGCTATTCAAAGCTACAAATGACCATTTTTCACACATGACTGGGATCATGATTTATGACTGTTTTTCACCCTTATGATCATGATCATAATCAGCAGCTCCAAGAAGGCTCCATGTCCATTTGCACCACTCAAGTGACCCTGAGGACACAGATAAACCTCCAGGTGGCTTCAGCAACTCTCTAAAAGAATGCAAATGACCAAGGAGTATAAATCTTTCTCTTCCCCACCATTCAGTGGTCAGAGCTGAAGAAGATTCTTGGATGAGAAGGGAAATGTTTTCAAAGGAAAAAAAAAACCAAGTCCAGTTGCCTTGAAAAAGCACATTTGTGACCTTCTGATAAGCAAAGTCAACGAGGAAGTCAGATTCACTTAAGAATTGTGTTACTTCGTGGTCATAAAAATACTTAGATATTGCAAAAATATGCCTGTATGGTGCCATATCCAGAAAATATAATTAAACAGTTGAACAGGGAAAGAAGGTTGGGAAGTTCTGAAGAACAATGTAAGTTTCATTCATTTTTATTTGAGGTCAAGTACATTTATCTCAGTTTGCAGTCTGATAAATATTAACCAGTCAACCCTAATATTCTTCCTCTTGAACAGTATTTTCATTTGTACAATAAGAACAATAGTAATTTAATTGCAATTCCTTTTATACCTTATTAAGTGAATTGAGTTAAATGCATATTTCAGTACCTGCCTGTAGTTTTGTTTTCGATTGTATCAGCACAAGGCATGCTGCTAAATTGTTCTCCAGTTTGATTCCTCCAATTTTATGGGTAACCATATTTATAATGTGCGGAGTCGGTTAAGCTGTTTAAACTGGAATGAATAGTTCCTAGGATGGACAGTTTTTAACATAGCCAAAATAGATAATACAATCCTTGTTTGTATAAACAGAGCAGAGGTGGTATTCAGCAGGTTCTGACCAGTTCTGGAGAACTGGTAGCGGAAATTTTGAATAGTTTGGAGAACTGGCAAATACCGCCTCTGACTGGCCCCACTCCCATCTATTCTCTGCCTCCCGGGTCCCAGCTGATCGGCTGGGTCTTCTTTTGTTGCCCTGCACAGGAGAACAGAGCTGGAAAGCAGGTTAGCGGAGTGGGGAGGGAATAGGATTTTGCAGTAACCTTCCCCTGCCACACCCACCAAGCCAAGCCATGCCCACCAAGCCATACCTACAGAACCGGTAGTAAAACATTTTTAAACTCCAATACTGAAACAGAGGCATAGAATCAAAATCACATGAAGTATTTGTTACCACTTTATAAAGCCTTAGTAAGGCCACACCTAGAATACTGCATCCAGTTTTGGTCACCACATTATAAAAAAAAATGTTGAGACTTTGGAAAAAATGCAAAGAAGAGGAACTAAGATGATTAAAGGTCTGGCCTGGTGACTAAAACATATTTTATTTATTTATTGATTTGATTTGATTTGATTTGTCAATTGCTTACAAGATAATAGGTATAAGTATATACATAGTTATGAATACATGAAATGGGTACATATAAGAAAAATAAAAGAAACAATAGGACAGGGACGGTAGGCACGTTGGTGCGCTTATGCACGCCTCCTACAGACCTCTTAGGAAAGGGGTGAGGTCAATAGTAGACAGTCTAAGGTTAAAGTTTTTGGGGTTTGAGGAAGAAACCACAGAGTCAGGTCGAGTATTCCAGACATTGACCACTCTGTTGCTGAAGTCGTATTTCCTGCAATCAAGTTTGGTGCGGTTAACCTTGAGTTTGTATCTATTGTGTGCTCTTGTGTTGTTATGGTTGAAGCTGAAGTATTCATTGACAGGTAGGACATTGCAATGTATGATTTTATATACCATACTTAGATCAGACCGAAGACGGAGTAATTCAAGGTTTTCTAGGTCTAGAATTTCAGGAATGGTTGCAGGGTTTGGCTAGTCAAGAGAAAAGAAGGACTAATAGGGACTTTGTAGTAGTATCCCAGTATTTGAAAGGCTGCCACAAAGAGGAGGGGGTCAACTTATTTACCAAATCACCTGTTCACAGGACAAGAAACAATGGATGGAAACCAATCAAGGAGAGAAGCAACCTGGGATTAAGGAGGAGCTTTCTAACAGTGAGGGCAATCAACCAGTGGAACAGCTTGCCTTCAGACATTGTGGGTGCTTCATCCCGAGAGGTTTTTAAGAG